CGTTATTCAGTATTCTAGTATCTCGAACACGAGTGTTTCGTGGAAAGTTTCTATGGTTTTGACGGATGGGATCGCTGCACATTTGAATGGACCGTTATAGATTTCCGAGCGAAAGTTAAGTTTGAGTTTCAAGTCGGTTTGTCGCTGGTTGCAGTTTCCTTCACACATCACTATTAATCATGAATTGAACTGATTCCCTGGCGCTTACAATTTGTTAATGTAGAAAAATGCAGTGCCTTCCCATTTTTGGCAACACGCGATTTTTGTCTTTTTTGCTTCCTGTAAAATTTATCGAACGCTTTATTCAATTTGAGATGTACGAGTGGTCCAGGGTGGGTTAGAGGTCCAAGTGGTATTTCAATGAAAAAAAATGCCCAGAAAGCACTACCCAACTAACAATTTTGGCTGCAGACTAGCTAATACAGCCAAAAATTTCCTTATGCAGCTAATTTGTGCCTGTATAGGCTGGTCTGCAGCTAGAATTGTTTGTTGGTTAGTAAATATCTATCAGAGTTTATGAAACTTATATATGTTTTCTTTAAGAATATTAACCTTAAATTGTAAGTTTGACTAACCTTGTGTTTAGTTTTTGTTTTGTTCGTGTGGGTTTTTTTTTCAATGTTTGTTTCTGTAATAATTGTATAATTACACTGTGGACACCAAATTGAATAGGAATAAGTTCATGTTTTAGGAATAATGAAATATTTGTATTTTAAATCATAACTCAAACCTCCTCCTCCCTCTCCCAATCCATAAAACTGTAAATCTCTACTAACCTCGAGATGACCGCGAGTAATCGGTTCAGTTCCTTTAAATCTAGATTTAAGACATCAATTATGTATAACGCAAATGATAACTTGGCTCTGTAAAGTTTATTCGATTGAGCCTGTACAAATAAATTAATTAATAAAAAAAAAAAAAAAAAAGTAGATATCTGAGAAAAGTAGTTGCTGATGAGGTTGTGCTGACAAAACCATGTAGACACCGCACCTGGATTTTTTTTGAAAATTACTGGAAAATCAGGGAATATCAGGGAATTTGGTTTTCTTCGTTGAGCCGACACCCTGTAATTGCTTTTCTAAACAAACACGTCAATCGTTGGTTTCTTGCGAATTCAAGGTCAATCTAAAAAATTAACAACACAGACAGGTAGATGAATGATTCCTCTATCATTTGGTATTGTTAGTTCACATGATTGAGCTATTATTAGCGAGAAATCGGCGATTGACGTGATTGTTTACAAAAGTAATTACGCCCAAATCTCAAAGTTCTCCGGATATAAAAAACGGTCTCCCGTATTTGAGAGTAGCACTTTTGGAACCACTCTGAGTTTTCAACCGATCCCATTTGAGCAGTGAATCCACCAACATTGCTTAAAGGAGTTATAGCACTTCTGGCTTATTTATGTAACTTTTAATAGTATTGAGTGATTAACATACCGAATATAGACTAGAAAGTAATCGGATTTTTGTTTTTATAAGAAAACATAATTTTGCCAATAATGTTTTGTAAATGTCATCAAAATTAATGCATCAATCTGAATTACTGTTTTCAAAGTTTCGAGAAAAGTTAATCGAAAGTCGGCATAAGGTTTAAACCTTAAATTTTTTATTGTTGGTACCGTAAAACAGAGTAACATTGAAGTTTTTTGGAGATAATTCTAAATATTTTCTACAGCAAAGGATGCTCTTAAAATTTTATTACTTTAAAACATTATTTCCCTTAATATCATATCTAGTTTTTATGTAGAATGTGGTACATGTTTTCCGGGGCCTCCCTTAGCTCAGTCGGTAAAGGCGCAGCTACAAAGCAAGACCATGCTGGAGGTGGCTGGGTTCAATTCCCGGTCCGGTCTAGGAATTTTTCGGGTTGGAAAATTTCTCGACTTCCCTGGGCATAGAAGTATGACTTGACTTGCCACACTATTATACCAATGCAAAAATGATGCAGGCATCGAAAGCTCTCAATTAATAACTGTGGAAGTGCATCTAGAACACTAAGTTGAGAGCACGCACTAAGCTAATATGCGATATGCAATAAGCTTGAAATGCGAAGAAGAAGAGAAGACCGTGGTCCCCAGGTTTCAGATTTAGGTCACAACTCCGAATTCATTATGATAAACCGTTTATGAGTGGTTTCGAAAAAAAAAAACACTGAGCACTAGGATCAGTTTCGTTAATTAACCATTTCTACGGATGTTTCGGATTTTTCAGAGAACCATTACGTGATCCCCAGGGTAATATTTCAGTCACAACTCCGAATTTATTCTAATAAAACGTTTATGAGTGTTTCTACAAAACCACGGAGCTCTAGGATCAGTTTCTTAAATGACCACTTTTATGGATGTTCCGGGTCTTCCTGGGGACCAAACTTGTGACTTTCCGGATGCAAGTTTTCCCAAAAGGTGGTCATCTATCTTGTTAATAACTTTTAAGAAGACACAAGGAAGTTATCTCTTCAAATTACCCTACAAGGAGAGTTTGTCCCCAATTAGCTTTAATCCCATATAGTACGTGTCCCTAGCAGCACACTTGTCACTGAAAAATCGTGGTAGCTTGTTTGCAACTTATTCCAGTCACAATCAAGTTGCAACAACTTATTTTGATGGTAGTGTGTTGCTTGGGGTATTCGTTAATATCGGTTCCAATTGTGCTGTCCCTATTAACCGTACTATAGGAATCTTGACCACTTTTACGGATGTTTCGGATCTCCCGTGGTCCCCTGGGTGCATATTCTAGTCACAACTCCAAATGCATTCTGATAAGACGTCTATGAGTTATTTCGAAAAATCTGCAGAGCTCTAGGATCAGTTTCATGCATTTACCACTTTCACGGATGTTCCGAATCTTCCGGTGGACCATCCCGTGGTCTCCAGTGTCCATATTCCAGTCACAACATCGAATTCATTCTGATAAGACGTCTAGGAGTGATTTCAAAAAATCCGCTGAGCTCTAGGATCAGATTCATGAATGTCCACTTGTACGGATGTTCCGGATCTTCCGCTGGACCATCCCGTGGTCCTCTGGGTCCATATTCAGGTCACAACTTCAAATTAATTCTGATAAGACGTCTATGAGCGGTTTCGAAAAAACGGCAGAGCTCTAGGATTAGTTTCATGGATTGACCACTTTTACGAATTTTCCGGGTCTTCCGGATCAGACTCGTGACTTTACGGATGCTAAATGTTCTCAAAAGGTGGAAAATTTTCTGTTTATTAACTTTTCAGTAGACACCAGGAAGTTATCTCTTCAAATTACCACACAATAAGCGATTTCCCCGAATTAGCTCTAATCCCATATGCTACGTGTATTCGTTAATGCCGGTTCCTATAGTGCGGTCCCTTTTAACCGCACTTTAGAAATCTTGACTGTATTCTTAAATACTTTAACTATTTGTTTTTTGTATTACTTCTGCGTGAAGTCGATGATTTACATAGTTAAAGATGCTAATTTCAAATAACAGACTAAAGTGGACCATCCTAAAAAGTTGTCCTTGCTCGCTTTCTACTCTCTACATACAATTTTCACACTGCCGTACTCTAACGGAACTATCAACTCTATACTTTCATCTCCTCATCTATCGTATAAAATTACCACTTTAGTCTGTTATTTGAAATTAGCGTCTTCAACTATGTAAATCGTTGATTTCATGCAGAAGTAATACAAAAAAACAAATAGTTAACGTAAATAACTCTGGATGGGAGCTTATCATCAATTACTGTCATTGGTCGAAAGGTACAGCAGCAGCACCTACCCTACCCGTTTCTCATCGAGATCGTCAAGTCGACGATGACAGGAGCACATACCGTGGTAGAGGTAACAATAGCTGCAATTTCCAAACCTACGACTGGATGCCTTCCTTCAGATAACAACTTGAGTGCGGTACAATCGATAAAACTGTTTTCATACACATCATCGGTATATGAGCAAGTTGGTGATCATCTCTTTTTGCCAGTGGTGGCGGGGGAGGATACCCCTCATCATCCCTCTCCAACGGGGGAGTTTGGTAAAGAGAGATGATCATATACCGGTTTGTACCTTCCTAAAAAGTTGTCCTTGCTCGCTTTCTACTCTCTATATACAATTTTTACACTGACATACTCTAACGGAACTATCAACTCTATACTTTCATCTCCTCATCTATCGTATAAAAATTATCACATTAGTCTGTTATTTGAAATTAGCACCTTCAACTATATTGTTAAACGATTTGCGTATCGCTACAGTCTGTTGTAAGAACCAACCATTACATTTCTTTTAAAACTCATGTACAATGATTGTACGAAACGCATACTTATATTTAATGTATATGTGCCTTTTTGATTTGAGTGTAGCAATGGTCTTTTTAAGTCTATACAATTTTATGCTTTGGGCTATCGATATTCGTCAGTTACATTTCTCATGTTAACAGTAGCATGTGCCTGTGTATCATTGCTTTTGTACTCATTCTGTTTAACTTAACACAAACTAAATTTCGCACCATCTGCTTTAAAGCTTCAAACTAACCATGCTAAAGTCCAACCTAAAAATACAAATCTATTCGCTTCTCAAAATGCACATCACATTTCGCTACTTCGCACGCTCATATCACAACTCTACAAGGATTTGTCTTTAGGAAGAAACCATGCGTCTCTGTAGTGAATTTGGGATCACTAAATCTAAATCGGTAACCTGCATTGATATAGCACATCATGGTTTTGAAGTCTAAATCAATAAGTGAACTTATTAATTAAGCTTTTATCCTAGATCAGTTTTTATTTTTTGCCCCCTAAATTAGAGTTCATGCATTCAATTATTTGAAATGGAAAAATAAGCGACGAACCCGAAAAGCGATACCCAAATTTACTAAAGTCACATGGTTTGGTCCTTGATTCTGAGGAAATCATCACTTCCGTTCATCTGTGTAGGTATTTAGCTGCTTATTCTGCCAACATCGCTTGCAAATTTAGCGAAACTCTCACTAAAACCTACATTCATTTCTTTCACCATTTTACCCTACAGAAACGCCGCGAACGGGGTCGTATCAGTGTCCGTGGGGTACGTTTGGTTGAACCTGCGATACTGCACGGCGAGGGAGGTGACACTGCGGCACCTGAGGTAGGTTACGACCATGTGGCAAGTTTAACTGACATCGCATTTTAACGATCAACAACAATTGCAGGGTTACTTCTTTCAAGTCGGTTACTGCGAAAGTGACGGTATCTATCCGGGGACTACGCTGCCCCAGTACACGTTGTATCTGGTAGCCGATAGCGAAAAGGAGCGCACCGATTGGATCGTGTCCATTAGGAAAGGTATGCATAAATTGATATTGTAATTTATCCTTCTAAGTACTAATCGATGCCAATTTTAACCGTTTCAGTTTGCGAAGAGTACAGCCCGAAATCGTTCCGCTACCATCCGAGCCTGTGGCAGGGTCGGAAGTGGTCCTGCTGCAAAAGTTTGAACCGACGAGCGCTTGGCTGTCAGGTGGCGACGCTATGGCCCGAGTACAACAATAATCCAAGTAAGTTTCCTAAAAAGAATAAAAACAGGGGCGAAAGTCTGACTCGAAGATTGCCGTCGCCTATATGCATATCGTTTGCATTTAATCTTTTCGCCTACGACGATGGCGAGCGGTCGTTCGTGTCGGTCGGTAGTAGATATTAATTTGGCGCAACGTCTTCCGAATAAGGAAACCGATGAAAGGTTACTGAAAATCTTGACGTGGTAATCGAAAAACGGGGCCGGTGGCTGCGGTGATAGAGGAACCGGTTGTGGGTCCTAATAGTCATAATTACATTTAACTATTTTCGGAAATTGAGCATTAATGAGCATGTTGTTTTTTTTTTTGTTAGTGAGCTATGTGAAGTGTATGCGACTATAGGTCCGGCCTGAGTTATGCACACAGCAATAGACCGAGAGCGGGGTCGACCGGTTGGTTTTAGTCTTTTTATTGTTTTAGCAAGAGCAGTTTGTTTGCTGCCTGCTGGTGGAGGAAGAAAATTAGTACTAATGTCGGTTTTTATGAGCCCATACGGAACAACAACCGACAGAGGATGAGGAGGAGGAGGAAGATGAGTAAAAGGTAATCGAAAATCGAAACTCGTGTGATGCTTATCACGAGAAGCGCGCGAATTCGCCTTGGGAAGCGTCTAATTACTTGATGTGTGGCTTTTGCACTGGATATTTATATGCGCGGGATGAAGTGTCGGAACTCTGCGGGATCTATATTGATGTATATGGTGCTAAGCGCTGCTGTGTGGCTGGTCTGGTAGTAAAGGTTGAACACGAAACAATCCGGACACATTATAACGCTGCCATTAAGGCATTTTTTGAGTAAAATTTTTCAAATTTTCACTGGATCAAGCTAAAAGTGTATTAGAATCACAGTAGGCATTGGTTGCAAGGATAAGTTCATTTGTTAACATCATGGCTATACCGGAGCAAGCCCGTCGCGATTCGATCCTGCACGCACGAAACGAAAATCCCGGCCTATCAACTCCTGGCAGTTTTCGATCAAATTCCTAGGCAGGAATTTTATACCTCGGTTGACCGGAAGAGTGCCCCGGAAGAATGTAAAATCAAAAAGAAGTCGAAATTCCTCAAAAGTTCCTGTCTGGCAAGAAATTAGCAGTTGTGGGTTGAAAAGCTAAACATTCGTTACTTCTGGGACCATGAACCTTACCAAATTTACCAGGAGGAGTGTCTAGGGAATAGACACTCGCTTTTCTGGAGCAGCATGAGATGAATCCGGCCAATACTCCGGAACTAAGGCTAATTGAGGGATACTGGTCAATTGTGAAGCACATACTGAAGAAAAAGGGTGGAACTGCATTTGACCTGAATGATTTCAAGTGGAAATGGAATTTGGCAGTCAAACAAGTGGGAACAGGGCTGCAAAAGATGATGAGCCGTGTACGAAGAAAAGTTCGACTAATGGCGTATGGTAAGAAGGAAAACTGAAACAGTGGTCTAAAAATAAGCATAAAACCTACTAATGTATAGCTGTTACATTGAATTTCGTGTCCGGATTTTTTCGTGTTCAACCTTTATGTTGTTGTTTTTTTTTTTATTGATATTGATTGCTTGCTGAGAGCCTGATTGTGATTCAGATATAATTCGTTTTCCGGATCCCAAGCAGGGTAGTACTCAGTATTATATCATGCTCTTCTCTAATAGGCATGAGCTAGCCACAATAAACAACATAAAAAATTTCACTGCAGGCCCAAAGACCAGTATCAAATTTTGCTTAGTGGAAGTAGATCGAAAATGGGCGTATAGATTCTAAATTCGATTTTTTCATCTAAGTAAAATAACGGCCCCAAACAGTAGTGGTCCATTATTAGTTTGAATTCCTTCGCCGCTGAGATCTTAATTGACCTGTTCAGAAGGCAGATGTTTTCAAACAAATTTCAAACGATCTACGGTGGCGCACGACGACCCGTGCCGGCTTATCACGTTGCCCTATGTGCCACAAAAAATAAATGCAGGCGTTGTAATTGATGGGGTGCTAAGCTTAAGTGGAAAGTGCATTCCATGCATGCGTTTGATGCATGTATTTTATTCGGCTAACAACAACAGCCGGCAATCGACTATGAATACATTTAAGTATAATATGAGTGTGTTTGTGTACACATTAGACATGCAATCGAAGGTTCTCTTTCGATTACCAACCATCATCGGAAGTAGGGAATTTGGTACGCGCCCTTGTCGTACATATGTTTTATGCAACAAGTGGTAGGTTTCTTAACTCAGTAAACAGGTAGGCTGGTAGGTAGCCCTCTACGAATGCATAAGAACAGAATAAAAAAATATGCGATTCCAACAAATTGATATAAAGTCTTACTTGTTGCGTTATAAATATAGGGCGGGAGGTGCATGTCAAACGGAACACCTTGTAGGTTGTACGAATGTTACGACAGTAATAAACAGTCGGAAATTATAGGTGAGGAGTTCAAGGTTCCAAGGGTGGACGGGCTCAATTTAATTCGGTTTAATGCTGATTGAGTTATTGACACTCACAAGGGTGGTGTTGGCTGTAGTAACTCTTGTAGCGGTGGCAACTGCAGTTTAATGTGTTGCTTTGAAAAAAAAAAAAAATCGGTGGTATTGCAAATTGCATTTTAAAACACCTGCATGAATAGGTTTACCGCAGGTTTACTTTGGAATTATCCTCGCCATTCACTTGAAACTCACATCAGATTTCACTTGGAATATTCCTCTAGAAGTATCTCCTAGTTTTAAATTTAAATTATTTGTCCAAGATGGTGAAGTCTAAAATCTTGATGATTTTTACAGGCGTCGAAATCTGAGGCCTTAGAGCTAGATGTTTCTTAGTCCGTAATCTTGAAATATTTTCGTAGCTCGAGATCTCGACCATCTTTTCCTACGTGTAGCGTTTTGAGTTGGTTTATAATACATTTTTTAAATCTTTATTAAGGTGATTTTTAGCCACTTGTGGGCTAGTTCATCACCAGGTTTGTAATACAGTTATTTCTAGTAAAAAGTCCTACGCTAACTTTACAGAATTCTGCTTAATGACCAGGGATCGTCTGGAAGCACGCTCACAGCTGAAAAAAAGATTGTGCTGTATGCTATTATTCTCCTGCACTTGATTTTTTTGGGAGCAAGACACCAGTGAGTGCACGCGAACATTTGAGAGAAGTGCAGGAGCGAACAAATAAAGCACATAGAGAGCTCAAAATAAGCACAAAATAAACTCATTCCATTATACACCGTAACAAAATCGATGTGAACATAAGCAACGCTTTAACGCAGATCACATTATTTGGTCTTGTGTAGAACATCGTGGAGTCAGATCTGAGCTATACGATTCCCTTCGGGCTCGAGGTAGGCAACATAATGTTCTAGTTCGGGAAATTTGGATAGACGTGATCTGGAGTTTATGAAACTCATATATTTTTTTTCTTGAAGATTATTAACCTTAGATTATAGTTTGTTTAACTTTGTGTTTTGTTTGTATTTTGTGTGTGTAGTTTTTTAATGGTTATTTACACTGCTGATATTAAGTTGAATAGAAATAAATTCTTGTTTTAGGAATAGTGAAATATTTGTATCGTAAATCATATTTAAAATCTCCTTCTCCCTCTCCCCATCTATACAATTGTAAATCTCCACTAACCTCGAGACGACCACAAGAATTTGGTTCAATTTCTGTAACTTTAGATTTAAAATTAAGATTAAGTATGTGTAATGCAAATGATAACTTGGCTCTGTAAAGTTTATTCGAGTGAGCCTGTACAATTTTTTTTATCTTGATTTTGTTTTCCATCGATTTTACGTGCTGAGCACCAATGCTACCGACGCCAGCTAGGCAGCTCCCATACCTGAGCCCAACCTATCGACCCATCATCTCATGGACTGGGGACCAACGGCTTTACTCCCCTTCCGATGGAAGGCGTGATCAGAGATGTTATGCCTCAGAACAGAACATCCCGGCGGCGCCGACTGGGATTGAACCCAGGCTTGCTGGGGTGAGAGGTTATCGCGCTTACCACTACACCACTGGCGCCGCTAAGGCCTTAATGTGGTGTTGCCAAAACCCTTAAACCAACATTTTTATTTTGGCCTAGGGCTTCTGAGAAACTTGCTTAAAAATACAGGAGTTTTGGAGAAACTTCTTAGAGGACTTCTAATACAAGTTCACAAGTTTAAGGGGAATCACAGCAATTTTAGGGAAAATTCACAGGACTTCTAAGGAATGTTCACAAGGATTTTATGGGAAATCAGGGCTTATGAAAAATTATCAAGAGGCTTTGATGGGGTAAGTTTACATGTCTTCTGGATAGTGATGCACCGAATAGTGCTATTCAGTCAAGTATTTGGCGTTTACACGCGATTTTTTACTGATATTCGGCCACTAATATACTCAAACACCTTTCAGGGAAATTTTGAGTTAGGACAGCTCGATATTCGGCCGAATAATATGGTGGCCGAATATTCGGTGCATCACCGCTTCTGAAGAAAGCCCGCCGCATTTCCGAAGAAAGTCCGCAGTACTTCTGCAAAAAGTTCACAAAGTTCTAATGATAATTTTACAAGACTTCTGGAGAAGTTCACAAGGCTTCTAAGGAAGTCCTCTAAAACTTCTGGGGAACACACAGTACTTCACAGAACTACTTAGCTGAGTTCACTTTTGTGGAAAATCCACAGGGCTTCTGGAAGCTGAATAAAGAACTTTTGATGGAAGTTCACATCACTTTAAGGGAGCTCAGAGACTTCTGGAAAATGTAATAGATTTTATCAAAACTAACAAAATGAATGTAAATTCAATATTCTCCGAGAAGACATTTAATCAAACAATTCACAAAACTTACTTATGGAAGTTATTTTTCATCAGTTTACGTGTAACCAGAAATTCGTCTTGGGAGTCAGCAGAATTGTCTACTAGTAAAACCCTTTGTCAGACTCTAGAAAATTCTTAAAATATCTCTGTTTTGATAATTTAATGCTTAGTCTGGTAAGTTCCCAGAAATACAACTTGAAAATGGTATGCAATTGCCC